GCATATTTTTCAAACACTTTCTCCCACGAGCGACAGTTTTTTCTCCTAAAAACCGCAAACTACATTCCATCTTGTGAATTCTGAGCCACGCCTTAAGATTTTTTTCACTGTCTGCTCTTTTTGTTCAGTTACACCTGCTGGCTCGTGCTAACTGACATCATCCCATCTGATTATATTACTTCGAAAAAGTGAGTAGCCACTCACAATTACGTAAACGACCTTTGAAATGTTCGGCATTGTTGATGCATTTCTTAACTACTGTGTACCGATAGGGAGTTCAAAGGCGTTTGCCTATATTTCCCTTAATAAATTGACTTGACTTGACAATAAATTTCGGGAGCGTTTTAACTCGCTTAGATGATTGATTACTTGAGTGACAATTTACTGCAACCTGGTTGTTTGCATTGATTTTTCAGTACGAATTCAATTTTGGTATTCTCCAATAAGCTACTCATGTTATGTAACGAGAGGCCGCAGCTGCCGAGCACTCACAAAAATTTAGTGGCTCCATTAAATTCTGCAATCCTTACATGTTTTAAATATTGGAGTATCATAGGAGATACTCGATTTGGCTGCAAGACGCGAAATAGAACTGAGCCATAACATGATCTGAGGATCCATCCTCAGTAAGCCGCCATGACTACCTGCATGGCGTTGTGTTTCGGATTTTTTGGAGGATAGGATGACGCCAGTAGTCGGAGTTATGCTGCGCCTATAACGTGAACGTGTCGGAATCAGCGTTGGAACGACTGCATGTCGCTAAATTCTTGGCGAAATTCAAGTAGAGTTGAGGAGCATTAGTGAGGTAGTAGGTTTGAAATCACATATCGCAGATTCTAGTTATGTGCTACATCCACCACACTACACGGATGCCCATCGCCTAGCAGCAGTGTGTAACCCGCCCTGAACAGGTTTTGGGTGAAGCCACGTCCTGTAGCTTCCGAAATTGGTATTACCGACTGCGGTAAACGATACGGTCAGAGAGACTTTTACTTGTGTGATTAACGCAGTGGTTAATCAGAGGTATAGAGACCAAAGCGTGCGCTCACAGAGAGGTCGAGGTACAGGGGAGGGTAGTTTAGCTCGCCGATACTGAGAAAACTGCAGATGTCCGCATGCCAAGTAATTAGTCACAAAAAGGTCATACTGAAAGTAAGCTGTGACTGCGGTAGAATCAATGTGCCGCGTACCAGATAACACGTGACGTCCTACAGCTTTAAAGACACCAGCAATGCCTACTGAATGAAACAGTAGTGCGTTACGAATATTAAACAAATCACCCAGTCACAAAACTTATCGTCACCAATACCGAAATGACACCAAAAACCCGAGATAATTCCTGGGCAACAGTAAAGTTGAAAGCAGAATGAGCAAACTGGATCGCCCAGTGGCACACTGCCGCGTTACTTCCAACCAACTCAAATGTGGGCTTATGGACGCCAAAGAAATGCCAAACCGGCAGTGGAATCGAACGTAGTAGCTGGCAAAGATTAACAGCCTGTCTATGCCTGCTACCCACAGCCTGGTCCCCGCATGATGTACCGGCTTTTTGTGAATGAAGTAGCAACTCGGATCTCACGTTCATAAGACTGACATAAAGGCCAAACTAAGGAGGAGCAAGTGTAGACTGACGCACAATCAGTTAGTTGGCAGCCGTCTGAGCGGCGAATTTTAGTTAGTCAGATTTACTAAGGTTAGGATTGCAAGAACGAATCCCCAATGCCGATCCCATACACCAGTAGACTGTCCGACCCATAATTCATCTGGTGATCGTGCATGA